TTTAAATATAGAAGAATAGCATAAAGAATTTCGGACTACTTGACAGAAGAAAGACAAGGAAAAGTCAAGTTTGATCAAGCAATTGAAATTGGTGTTTCAATTGTGTGATATGTTTGTGTATTGTGTAGTCCCGCTATGTCTGTCTGATTTGCTTTTGCAAGCTTCTTGTGAGTAATAACGTGTAAAGTTATGTTTAACTTAATTATTTTTCTAATGATATGAAATGAACAGTTTTCTAAAAATATGCATGTTTTGGTATGAATGAATGATTGTCCAAGTTTCTAAAATTACTCGTGGCATCCATAGTATTACATGGTGATATTTTTGTTCCTTATAGGCTATCAGGTCCTTTATGGTCATCAGAAATGCCTTATGGACGTCCCTTTATGAGTCATCGAAAACGTCCTGTGCCTGAGTCATCGGAATGTCTTAGTGTTCCTTTATGGGTCATCGAATGCTTTCGGCCGTCCTTCATGGTCATCGGATTTGTTAACGCAATGGATGTGCCACGTACCATAATGGTGCAAATGTACAACTTTAAATATGAATATGGAATTGATATGTACAGAATCTATTCTATTTTGACACTGATCATGTACAAGACCTGTTCTGTATGGATATCATTCAGTAAAATCTTTACTCTTATTATTATTCACTGGCTCCATGTCCGACCCTAAACCCGCCTCTAATGAGGTTAGTGTCGTAACGGCCAGTAAAATCTGAGAATTCCAAGGCTTCCTTACATCAAAAGATAAGTAAGGGCTAAGCGAAGTAATATTCAAAAACACCAATTGTCCAATGAGTTAGTGCATCTATATGAACAAATATTACATCACGACGTAATTTATCTTACATTCAGTACATAATTATAACTTAAACTTCTTATACATAACAAGAACATAATAAAGTGTACTCATATCCCAAACCTGACAACGCTTCCAGGACTAGCCCCCACCAGAGTCTCAAAAACCAACTTGGTAGCTTCAAACCGTGGCTCAGCTAAACACCCTTCTAGCTTGCGCCTCCAAAAGCTCACCTATACATTATATAAAAATAGTAAGCTAAAACCAGTGAATCAACATTAACTAAAGGGGTTAGGAACAATTTCAAATACAAAATCTGTAAAACAAATCATATCACAATCAATCATATCAGTCTCATACAGAAACATAATGTAATGTACAGTGTCAACGTCCCATTCCGCCTATAGAATGGGCCGTGATGGCAGTAATTCGAGATTACTGAAAGGCCAATTACGAAGATTCACAGCAATCAGAGTTATACATATGCGGGCTTACAAGTAGCAGAAGCAATAAAATTTAAATCTAATAGTTCCACAAGAACGATGCATAATAAATGAAATGTCATACTAAGTAGTTTTACGCCTTGAGTACAAGTAAAGTAAACTACATTTACATCTTGATAAACTCTCAAGCGAGACTCACACACAGAAATAAACTACAGCCCAAGAAGTCATAAATCTCAAGAACTACAAAACAGAATTCCAAAAACATTCTCTGCAAACATCATCTAGTGTCACCGCTTCTGCTCGTCACCTACATCATATTAGGAGAGCGGGAGCTTGGATACTCAGTGAAATGATACCAGTAATAAGGTTTTTGCCATGACTGATTCAAATCTCTTTTAAACCAATACAGAGCATAACTTATACAAAACTCAAGGATGCAACCAAGCTCCTCAATCAGTCTTTTAAATTCTTCAGGGATGCTTAGCAGCATCAATATAATACAAGGGATGACATTCCGGAACAATCAACACCATGTGGAAAAACCTGTCAGTGGCCAAAACAAGGGTCAGTTACATTAATCATGGCACTAGGATTTCAAAAACGTTATAGTCTCCTGGCACTAGCCTTTCAAAAACAGGTGCAGTTGCATTATACGCTCCCTAGCCACTACGACTCCTCGTCATGACATATTCGTCGTCGACATAATACCGTTAGGTAGTTGTTGTCAAATGGAATAATCTCAATAGATTGTATAAAGTCTAAAGAGAATATTGTGGATCCATTAACAAAAGGTTTGACAAAAGAACAAGTGTATAGTTCATCAAAGGAGATGGGATTAAAGCCTATTACATAAGAGTCATCATATAATGGTAACCCTAGTTATATGACTGCAGATCCCAATAACTAAGTTCAAATGGACAACTAAGTTATGTATGGCTCACCAAAAATTATTAAGGGATTTAAAATTCTCTACCCATTCCTATGATAAGAGTGATATCTTCAACATATATTGTATGTAGGGATTTAAGGGTAAGCTTTGCTTTTAATGATTACTTATATCTTGATTTAGGCATAAAATCAAGACGAGTATAAGAGATACTCACAATAAGAATCACCTATATGAGTGTCGAACTGGGGCCGGTTCTGTGAGCATGAAGAGGCTAAGTTCTCTAGAAATACTCATGAACAACCAGGAGCGTTCAAGGCCAAAATGAACACAACCGTGAGAACCACGACGTGTAAAAAAATATTTTGTGTAAAATCTATTGTCTTGGCTTACACAAACGGCCGAACAATTCAAGGCATCGCGTCCATTGGTTAGCTAGTAAATCCAATAGGTTATCATTAGGGAAGGTTCAAGGCCGAGAGCTACCTATTCTGATGTAAGATATTTTCGATTTATACTCTTTCGACAAATTCTGCATATTGTTGCATTCCTGTTGTCATCAAATTCTATTCATGTGGGGGATTGTTAGAAATGGTTTTGGAAGTTTTTGAAAAATCTGATTTTTCCTTAACTTTGGTCAATTTTTTAGGTGGGACCCATGCGTCAAAGTTGGTGGGTCTAAGTGGTAACGCGTTCTATGTCACGTTGTAATTCACGTGGTATATTTGGTTGCTCAAAGCCATTATCGGGTGAATGAAAAATTGAAGGCAAAGATAGCTCCATGAAAATGGTATTTTTGGTGAAATTTCTTAAAGGTTTGGTTTAAGGCTTGTCCCACATTGATTTGGTGGGCAAACTTTGCGTGGGTTTGTAAGGCATGGGTTTGTAACTTGGGGAGGGTCCCAAGGGGCACCTCAAGTGTATAAAAGGGTGAGGTTATAGGCAAATTAAGCTAGATCCATTGGACCAAAAAATAAACACACACGCGTGCGCCGCCGTCTATTTGTTCGTCCGTCCAGTCGGTCGGGCGGACTGGGCTAAGCTGGGCTGGGCTTGGGCGCGGGTGCATGGTGTGAGGTTGGGTTGGGCTTGTCTAGCCCAATACCTATCTTTTTGGGCAAAAAATATTTGAATTTAATTTTATTTTTTGATAAAATAAAATTTGTCCGTTTTAATTTCAATTTTTGAATTTTATCTGTATAGCCACGAAATCATCTATAAATAAGACATGCTCTCATTTGGATTATTCATTCACAATTTTCGTTCTTCTTTGCTGTAATAAATCTCTGCATTTTGCTGCACTAAATTTCTATGAGAATGAATATATACACAAAGTGTGTTTGTTATGCGAATAATTTGTAGTGCTGCAATTCGTTATTGATAATTTTATCCTGGGAGATAGACGTCTACAATCTGAAAGCACCGTGGAGAGGACGAGAGGATGTATTTGTCTTAAGGACACAGTGTTAAACACTAGACTTGATCAAAAATTTGTTCAAGAAATTAATTTGGTAAGTAATTAATTTATTTTCTGTTTTATTATTTTTCTGTTTCAGATTTTGATTTTGTTTTTGTAACAAAATAAAAATTTATTTTTATTTATTTATTTTATATTTTGGTTTATTTTTGTAATCAAACAATTTCTCTCATTTTCTTTATTCTATTTATTGTTAAGTACACAAACATAATTTATTCATAATACAGTGAAAATTGTCTAACAAACAAATGGGTGATTGAGATTTGATTGTCTTTGCCTAGATCAAAAGGAAAACTTTAAAAATTCAGAACTTAATAAAATAGAACAATTATATGTGTACTAGATTTATCAAAGGGGCATTACTCCGTGTACTAGATTTTTGTTATAGTAGGATTTTGAGACGATTATATGTGTATTAATTTTATTTCTTTATTTAAATAAAGAGTATGTTTTCGGAATTTGAAAAAGTGATATTCAAATCTCAATAGAACAATTTTAGTGATGCACCAAAACCCGAATGATGCATGTGAAATGTGAGTTGAAAAGACACGAGTCCAGTTTCTATATAATTTGTGTTTTTTATCGCAACAAGACACATCAACAATGTACAAAATCCAATAGTTCGAGTTTAACACTCAAATAAAATAAAATTAAAATCACAAACCATAAAATAATATAGTTTTACTTCCATTTTAAAATAAATCGTTAGATTAAGACAATAAAATCATTATAGAAAAATTCATTGCAAAAAATATTGATCTAATAGACATGATCTAAAAAAGCTGAGGCCAACTTGAGAAGAATATGATCCAAAGTAATTCCAGTGTTAATTTAGTTATTGATTATTGAAGAATAGGAATGGCATTCCTTGAAATGACAATACCGCAATATATATATATACTCTTTGACAAGACATTATTAATGCAAGGAATTATAATGCATATGATCTATTAATCAAGACATGATATGATGTATTAGGCAGGTTGTGAAATTTGAACACATGATTTATTGTATGTTCTTATATCATATTGAATTATTAATTAACTTATTTAAAAGTTTAAACTATTAGAGTGAATGCTAATTTTATTGTTTATATTATATCCTTAATAGCCACAAATGCATGAAATTCTAGTTTTCAAAAATATCTCTGAAGGCACATGATCTATCTTCAAATTTCATGTTATCTTATTTTTATAAAATCGCCTTTTGAGATTTTTAGATTTTAAAATTCTCACTATATCATGTAGCTGAGAATATATCACATCAATTTTAGAATAAAAGATCTTGGGCTTTCTCAGAGGCATTAAGAAATTGAAAAAGAAAAAAAGAAGATAATAAAGCACATTTTCGGTGGTTAATGGAAGAAAACAAAATGCAAATGCCTCCAATAATATAACAATATTGCATTTTATTATAACCATATAACCATGGTAAACTCGATATATCATTAATTTCCATACAAGGTACACATTAAAGCCGCTTAGCACTAAGAAGTAGTAGTAGGGGAAAATCAAGTGTTTGAGACAAAAGATCTCATGCTCAATTTTCATTACTAAAACCATATAGCTCCGGCATCTAAAAGCATCTTCTTAAGGGAGCCATTGAGATGGAGGGTCATGACGGTGCTAGAAGAACCCACAAATTTCCCCCCTATGAACACTGCCGGAACTGCAGGGTTGCACCCAAGCCTCGTCAGAGCCCGCTCCATCTCTCCCCCTTTTGTGTCCTCATCAAGCTCATGAATCATCGGGCTTGCCCCTTGTTCATAGAACAACCTCTTGATGGCATGGGACATGCAACACGAGCTGTTGCTAAAGATCACAACCGCCTTTTGTTGTGCCAACTTTGCTATGCGATCCATATCGATCCCAAAAAATGCCTCTAGATAATAAAAAAATAAAAATAAAAATAAAAAGATGATGCAGTACACAAAATGTTGTTAAAGTGGGATTTAAAGAGGACAAGAGAGATACAATGAAAGTATATAACCTAATATATGTATATGATTGGATGTGGGTTGCAACGAAGATTATTATGAATTTTGATGTGTGAGTGAGAGGTAAAGACTTAGGAAGTTGGAGCAAATGATAGTTATGAAGTTTGATAGAAGACTTGGCTTGTTTGTTGGTGGTATTGTAGCTCTAGTTACCATCTATATATATACATAAGTGAAGGTGGTGGAATATTGCATATTTCCATCAATTTTATCACAAATATAAGCGAAATGCTCCGGTGTGTAATGCACACCATATGTAACTTTACACAAAATTACATAAGTTTTTACGAATTTACATAAGTAATAACACAAATATGCATAATTTGAACACAAATTTACACAAATTCATGAAGCTTAAACGGTTACACTAATTTGTGTTGAAACTTGCGAATTTTTGTGAAATCACTTATGTAATTTTGTATAGGGTTACATATGATGTACAATGCACACCCAAGATTTTTTCCAAATTATAGAGATTGATCACAAAACTAGATATAGAACAAATATGAATATACATGGATAAGATTTTATAAAATTTGTTAATGAGATCAATTTTTAATTTTTTTTATTCATCCCCATATACTATGTGACTGATTTATGCGTCAGTAGATTTATTCGGTTTCTATTGTTTAATGCAGAAGGAAGAAAAGGAGATGAAAAGGTGAAGGTTCCTTGAGATATTTGGATATAGATGCTAAAAACCACATAACGTTTGATTTGATAAGGACTTGTATGGCTTGCTACATTCTATTTCCCCTAGTTGTGCTAAGAATCTATGAAACTATTCAAATAATTCAAATGCTGCCGAAAGCAAAATAACCTAAAAATTGAATATCACCTAGTACGGCAAACTTTTTCTTTCCTTATTTTTTTTGGGATCAAAGTTACCTTCATAACATGTGAGTGTGTGACTTCTCAAGGGTGGATATGGGGAATATCAACTTAGGTGATGGCGCAAATGAATAGTTGCATCGCATGGTGGTTGATGTGCAAGTTTTTGTTTTTGTTTTTGTTTGTTTGTTTTTTTTAATGCGGAAGAGAAAGAAAAAAAATATTAAAATTAAAAAAAAAAAGAAAGAAAGAAGAGGAAATGATGTAAAGGGGGGAAATAGAAAGAAAAATGCAGCATTGCTAAGAAAGAAGACCCAAACAGAGTCTAGACTGTCCAGCAAATCATCTGCAAAAAAACCTAAACCCACAATTGACAAGATGTCCACCCAAAAAAAAAAAAAAAAAAACCCCCAAAATTTAAAAAAAAACCAAAATTTTCATTACAAGCCTTAATACCAAATAAATTATTGTGGGCACTATTTAAATATTTGCTAATAAAAAGTTTGTCAAATTTGGATTTAATTTCCAGTTGAGGTTAATTTTATTAATAAAAACAAAATAAGATAAGAGTACAATTCAAAGAGAATAATTTATTGAGAATTTTGAGAGATATTAGAATTTAGAACAACATAATTTTTTTGCCATTTTATATTATCAGAATGTATGACAAGATATTATTCACCTTTTAATTTGATGTTAATCCATTTAAATTTGGGAGTGCCCTTACAAGATGTGCAAACTGTTTATATATTCGTGGTCCATAGCATTACAAATGAATTTATTTTTTCTCAGAAGTTATTTTTCTTAGAATTTTGAGTGTTAATTTTACCCCATTCAAAGCAAAAATGCAAATAAATGTGTCAATGCAAAATGTTCTCATTTTCTGTCTCAACTCTATAAGATCTAGCTCTATAGCACTTAACGCTTTTTTAAAACTTAAAATTCTCTTATTAATTTTTAAATTAAGTAAACTTTATGAACTTTAAATTATGATGAAGTGGGACAAAGGGTTGAACAAAGGAAAAAGATCCGGACACCCTTTTACTCCCATCCCCTTGACCTCCTCTCTTTCTAATTGGTCAGATTTTTTTTTATTTTTTATTTTTTCTTTCCTTCTCCTCCAATCACCACCCGCCACGTGTGTGTAGAGATGGTGATTGGAGAGGGTCTCTGTCAAAGCCCGTTGAACAAAATATGATGAAGGAGAATTCCAAACCATTGAATTGAGAGCATTTATTCATCCTTGTCAATAACATTGTCACAAACACAATTTATCAATTCATTTTTGTGAATTTCATGTAGAGTTGCCAAAAATACATTACAACTATGCATTTGTGACAATGCAATACAATGAATAATTTTTGTATCGAATTGTTAGATTTATCCCGTGTCATCTTTTTAAATCATTCAAACTTAGTTGACATACTTTAGGATTTGATCACTGAAGAGGTCAAAAGATGAATATTTTTCTCTCTCATATACACAAGTATACATGTATGAACAATATCATATGTAAGTTACATATATACCCCAAATTTTTTTTTAAAACACCATAGAAACGATCTTTAATAGTATGAAAAAACTTTTTTTATTCAAAATAAAAAGAGAATGAAAGATGGGAGAAGAATGAAATATTTTTTTATACTAGGGGGATCATTTTTTGTATAAAATAAGATTTATATATTTTTGAAAGTATTGTGACAAACAATATCTTTTATAGAAGCAAGAAGGCCATGACCTTTCTCCTAGTTCCTTTCCTGCCTCTAGGAATGGCAACTGGCCGGGGCGGGGCCGGAGATTACACTTTCCGTCCTTGATCCCTGAAGATATAAAATTCTCTGGCGAATGGTGGGTTGTTTGGCGACAGGGCTAAAAGTTTCAGTATAATCGATACCCTCTTGTTGGAGAAACCCCTTGGCAACCAAACGAGCCTTATAACGAGCAATAGAGCCATCAGAATTATGCTTAATGCGAAAAACCCACTTGTAGCCTATGGCAGATTTGGAAGAAGGTAGAGGAACCAATGACCAAGTACCCTGGGCGAGAAGAGCATTATATTCCTCTGACATTGCTTTATGCCAGACAGAGGACTGAAGAGCTTGCTGATAGTTCAATGGTTCAGTGTCAAAATAGGCAAAAGAAGCAGCAGAAGAAGAGGCCTCTAAAGCAACTTGACATAAGTAATGCTTTTCTTCATGGAACCTTAGAGGAGGAAGTTTACATGACTCAGCCACCTGGTTTTCTTAGTGTTGCTCATCCACATCATGTTTGTCTCTTAAAAAAGGCTATCTACGGTTTAAAGCAAGCACCGAGAGCTTGGTACTCCACATTCTCTACTTTTCTTTTATCACAAGGTTTCATTAACAGTCACTGTGATAATTCCTTATTCATTCAATGGACAGCTTCTACCATCACTATTCTCTTAGTCTATGTTGATGATATCCTAGTCACAGGCAATAATTCTTCTCACATTGCCTCTCTTATTGCCCACATGCATACTGCCTTTGCCATGAAAGAGTTGGGGAATATTTCCTATTTTTTAGGGGTCTCCATTAAGGATTATGGTGATTCTTATTTTCTGTCTCAAGATAAGTACGCCTCTGACATTCTTCTTAAGGCTGGGATGGCCAATTGCAAGCCTTGCCATTCCCCAAGTTCTGTCAAGCCTTCTCTCTCTTCAGGTTCTCATATTCCATTTCGTCAACCTGAACTTTATCGCAGTATCGTTGGGGCTCTACAATACCTTACAATCACCAGGCCTGATTTGTCACTATCCGTTAATCAAGCCTGTCAACATATGCATGCTCCAACTGTTGGGCATTTTGCTTCAGTCAAAAGATTGCTGCGTTTTATTCAAGGGACTTTAACTCATGGTCTCACATTCAGTCCTAGTTCTTTTGATTTACAGGCTTTCTCTGACTCTAACTGGGCTGGTGATGTTCTTGATCGTCGCAGTACGTCAGGCTATTGTGTGTGTCTTGGTTCGAATCTTATTTCTTGGTCCGCAAAAAAACAACCCACAGTGTCTCGTTCCTCCGCAGAGGCAGAATACAGGTCTTTGGCGCATACTGCTGCTGAACTCACCTGGTTGCAAATGTTGCTTCGTGAACTTCAGCTTCCTTCCTCGGTTGCTCCCATTTTATGGTGTGATAACCTCTCGGCGATTGCCTTAGCTTCCAACCCTGTGTTTCACACTCGTTCAAAACATATAGAGGTCGATTGTCACTTTATTCGCGAAAAATTTGCCCGCAAACAGATTTTACTCCATTATGTTCCTTCTTTGGATCAGATTGCTGATATCTTTACAAAACCTCTCTCTGTGTCTCGGTTTCAATATCTTCAAGCCAAGCTTCTGGTCTCTCCTTCTCCCATCAGCTTGCAAGAGGGTGATAAGACAACCACAACAGCAGCTTCAGCTCCAGCATCACCAGCTCCAGGTTTAGCTTCAGCTTCAGAATCAGTTGCATCAGTTGCAACTGCTACAGCTCCAGCTGTACATTCAAAATCTGTTATATCAAATGCATTGTATAGTCAGTTAGGAAATCAGTTAGGAATTGGTTAAGTGGTTAGGAATTAGTTAAGAAGTTACAGTGATTAGTTATCTTTCAGTCTCAGCATTGTATATAAATACTGTTATGTAATTCATAACAGATATGAAATGAATAAATGTTTTTCTTCACATTTAGATCCCAACTAGGTTGGCACCAAAACGCACACCAAATCATCTGCTAGCACACACTCAAGGCTCATTGATATTACAAAATTTTATAATAAAATTATATGAATTTATGGTATGGTGCATATGGTCTGTACCCCTAAGTGCTGCATACCATAAGGTTTTTCTTAGTTTTGTTAGGTCCCTTTATTGTCAAATCCGCGTACAAACTTTGTTTTGATAAAGTTGTTTTTTTTCCTAGGTTTTTGTCTTTCCCGCTCGAGCGGAACCATTGGCGCTCGAGCGTAATATGGGATGTCTCAGTAGTTCGTTAGGTTTGTAAAAATACTGAGATGTGTGATTTCGCGCTTGAGCGGGTTTTTCAGCGCTCGAGCAGAACTCTGTTTTGTCACACGCATGTTTTGCTGAAGCCGCTCGAGTGGGCTGTTTGGCGCTCGAGCGGAGATCGCGGACTTTCTTCTCCTATATGTATCTGTTTAGGCTAATGATAGGGTTTACTTTTCCTAGATGTTATTCAAGAGTCCTAGGTTTTTGTTTGAGGTTTTCTTCTGAGGTTTTTGTGAGTTTTCCTTGATAAAATTGAATGAGTATTCAACTCATGATTTGAGAAGCACACA